ATATATGAAATCTATGTATTTATACCATCACTTGTCTTGATGTCTTCTCCTGCAGCTGTTACATGAGTCTGGCATCTCTTTCCGCTCTTCCTTCCTCTTCCTGTCTGCCTGCAGCGTCATTCACCTGCTCAGGACTTTCTTCCTGCTGCCCAGAGACCACATTCCCTATCCGCTGCCTGATGACTACACATACGGGTACAGACCCCCCAACAAACCACACACACATCAACACCTCTCTTGCCTATTTTAAAAGTCTGGGGGTTAACAATTATCTGGCAAGAAAATGCTCTGAAAATGTATTGTGAATGATACAAAGTGTATATTAAATACTTACACATACTTATTATATTATATTCAATTTCTGTCATGATATCCCCCTACATCCTACACACTGGACCTTTGAGCACACATCCTGGATCTAAGAGAGTTTAAGATCAAGACTTTGAGACCTGAACAAATCCCCAAACTGCTTTGTCTTTTAAATGTAGATGTACACAACATTTTGTCATGTATTCTGATGTGGTTTCTAAGAAGATTTCTATTTTCACTCCCCTGTGCCTACCCTGTCTTCACTTTCCTTCTCTCCCTGAATCATCTGGAGCAAATATGAGATTGTCAGGGATTGTGTGTCTATTGATCTATAACAATAAAAGTAAGAGTAATGACAGACTTTAATGTGTGGACTTTTACAAGTACCCCCCATAGTGTATTGTGATTATACCCTAGCATTGCAGCGCTCTACAGTTGTACCGTTGTCAATGAACTGTGTGGTTTACAGTACAAATTATTTGTTAGGATTTGTACACCTTAGGACCCAAAAAGCAGAACGTGGACAAGAGGTTATGAAAAAGTTCCAAAGGGTGTTTTATTGTCAAAAATGAATAGTGATCTTGGTAGGTGTCCACGATGAAGCTGGCAGGCAGAGTGAGCTGGGCAGGCCGCAGAAAGACAAACGGGCAGACTGGCTGAGATCTGTATCTGGATGAGGCCTGAGACACGGGCAAAACCAGGAGTCAGCAGGAGTGAAAAAAGTGAATAAAGCAAATTAAACAAGAGCCTAAATTTGACCATTACGAATGGAATGTACCAAGCTGGCAAACTGAACGATCTAGCGAAAACTGGTCTGAAGAACTGGGATTTTATACTGCAGGGCTTGATGAGTTGATGAGCCTCAGGCAAGTAGGTGATCACAGCCTGATAATCAGGCAGCCAGGTAGAGGGATGAGAAAACGCCCAGCCAAAGACACACACACACACACACACACACACATACAGAAAACAAACGGGGACTGACAAGAAACACAAGGGAGGGGGAAACAGCTGAAAACAACAGGAATGAGAGGGAGGCACAGCCGGACCATGACATTATTGCACTCCCACAGTAAGAATAACAAGTCTTGGGTGTGGATATAAGGTCTGAGTCAAAAAACAAACCCATCTGCTCCTTTAAAAACATTAGCAACTCAAACAATGCCCTCAGTCTGTGGATGACCCTCTGTGACCTTTGACCTTTGTCAGGATTACCTGTGGTAAATCAAAGACTCTGAGCTTAGAGCAGACAGCAGCCAATGGTAACATACTGAAGATGACAGAGGAAACGCCCCGCAACAATGACGTCCCTGTGACACAAGGTTTGATCACCTTACTGTGGCATGAATAAATACAAAATAAAACATAACAAAATAAAATAAAATAATCAGACATCCTATTTCTCTTCATCTTTGTTCTCTCCTCTTCATCCGTCTCTGTGATCTCCCCTTGCCTCAGAGAAGAGTTTCCGTGAGTGTGTCATGTCCAGGTTCTTTGCGTGGCATCTGCTCTGGGTGTCGGTGATGCAGCTCAGACATTACCTCTTCATTGGCACATTCAACCCAATGCTGCAGAGGCTGACGGAGGGAGAGCCTTCACTGGGTAAACACACACAAACACACCTGTGAGCCATTTACACAATAAAGTAATTCGTATCTTACTGTATTTATTTGCAGCTCCATAGTTTCATTGCAGTATGCTGAATTAGGACCAACTAGTGCAGTGCCTGTTCAAAACGTGCCTGGTCAGAACAGGCTACACCTGACTTTGCACTTTCTTGGGTCTTAAGCAATACAATAGCCAAGTGTGAAGTTGATCAGATCAGTGGTTGTTGAGAAAATGGAAGTACAGACATACAGTACAGGCCAAAAGTTTGGACACACCTTCTCATTCAATGCGTTTTCTTTATTTTCATGACTATTTACATTGTAGATTCTCACTGAAGGCATCAAAACTATGAATGAACACATGTGGAGTTATGTACTTAACAAAAAAAGGTGAAATAACTGAAAACATGTTTTATATTCTAGTTTCTTCAAAATAGCCACCCTTTGCTCTGATTACTGCTTTGCACACTCTTGGCATTCTCTCCATGAGCTTCAAGAGGTAGTCACCTGAAATGGTTT